AAAAAAAACAAAAAAAAACCACTAGGCATGTCCCAGCAAAGCCTGGATGGCTATACACTACCTGAAACATACCTAGTCTATGCCTTACCTGTGGCTATTAGGGCATGTGATACAGAGAACCTCTCCGAAAGTGACTCCTGCCCCACCAATGAGGCGCCTGATCAGAGGAGGCGCTGAGGGAGGGAAGTTGGTGCCAAAATCTGAGGAGGGTAGGAGAAGCAAGAAATGTACACATTACCTTCCCTTCCAACCTCGGCGCGAGGCTAATGGGGTTAGAGCCAGGCCCCCACAATGGAGACAGTTGGCTGTAGGGATAGGGAGCAACTAGAAATTGTTGGTCAGTGACAACACAGAACGTGGTCATTGAGGTGACCTAGGAAAACCTTAAATTAGAAGCAGCATGCAGGACATGGAAATGAAGAATCCATTTCAGGTACTGCCTCTTGTACAATTGTCTTGAACCGTAGGTTCCTAATTAGCTCTTCACAGGCGAATACTTCTCACTGCCATGTAAATCAACTTGTGATCCAAGGACACAACCAGTTATCTTCTGGGTTACTTTTTTTTTTTTTTTTTTTTGAGAGGTTTTAGCTATAGGGTGTGTGCACTCACCAGAAAGACAGAGAGAGATGAAGAGACAGATGAGAAACCACGCCCTGAGGGGATGGCCATGCTGCAATTTCTTCTCCTCCATTCTCCTCTTGGGATCTTGGGCACACATGCACATGTGCCCGGCCTGAGTTTAAGCCACCGAGTCCAGGACTAAAACCACGTTCGATTACATGGGAGTCCAGCGACATAGCCATTACGCCAACTGCAGGTCTTGTTCTGGGTTACTTTATCTTACTACCTAGCACAGTGGCTTACACATTACCAATGCCATGTATGCTGAACTGAGTTGATTTGAGCACCGTCATTCATTCTCTAAGTACACTGAGCCAGGTGGAAGAGATACACACTCCATGATTGGGCCAGTATTGATATTTGATCGTTTCATCATGAATTTTGGGAGAATGTGGAAACATAGTCAAGAATTCATCAAATTCCTGGAAGAGCATGCCATGTGGGCTTGGATTTCAAAGACTTGGAACAAGAATAAATTACACAGTGGCTAAAGTTCCATTCTGAGTCTGTGATCACAAATGGCCTAGTAATGGGACAATGATCTGGCACCAAAGCAAACTCCTGATGAGCTCAGGCTTGGTTTTCTTATTGCTGCTTTAATAAGTCCACGCAACACAAGGAGCGATAAGAGTGTGTAAGTACAAACAAACAAAATGGCACACGCACAGCCTAGGGAAAATGCCAAAAGACGTAATATAGGCTTTTGTTTGCTCTCTTTTTCTTTCTTTATTTTTCCTTTGTTTTGTTTGTTTTAGACAATTTTTAGTTTTCAGGCCAAAAAAAAGAAAAATGATACATTCATCACTTTAGACAATGACAGAAAGAAAGTAAATATTTGCAACTCTTTTTTTTTTTTTTTGAGAAGTTTTCACTAGAGGGTCCGTGCACTCGCCAGAAAGACAGAGAGAGACAGAGAGACAGAAAGCGAGAAATCACCCCCCAGGGGGGATGGCCACGCTGCAATTCCTTCTCTTTCATTCTCCTCTCGGGATCTTGGACACGCACGCACATGCGCCCGGCGTGAGTTTAAGCCGCCAGGTCGGGGACTCAAACCACAGTTGGCTACATAGGAGTCCAGAAACATAGCCATTATGCTAACTGCTTGTCCCAATATTTCCAACTCTTAATTTTGCTTTGACCTTTCATATCAAGAGGAAAGGTCTCGAACCTGAAAACATACCCAGAAAGAGCTCACAGGGAAGTCAAGACAGGAAAGGAGACACCTAAATGGCTCCTTTTACAGGAGCTCTAGTGTTCTGGGCTAAACAAATCACATCTCAGGACACTGACACACTTTGCCAATGTGACTACACATCAGGTGGGAATCTGTGAGAAGTTAGGGAGACTGGTAGAGGATGGGGACAGGCAAAATTGTCTTTATTTTTAAAAAAGAAAAAATAAGAGGAGGACCAGCAGTTACCATAATGGCTATGTTGCTGGACCCACGTAGTCGACCGTGGTTCACGTCCCAGACCTGGTGGCTTAAGACTCACGCCGGGCGCATGTGTGTGTGTGCCCAAGATCCCGAAAGGAGAACAGAGGAGAAGGGATTGCGGCGTGGCCATCCCCCATCCCCCCTGGGGGGTGATTTCTCGCTTTCTGTCTCTATGTCTCTCTCTGTCTGTCTGGCGAGCGCACGTGCCCTATAGCAAAAATCTCTCCAAAATAAAAAAAAAAAAAGAAAAATAAGAGAAATTCTGGAAACAACAGACTAGTCACCTTGATACTAACCCGCAGCAGGATTTTAAAATAGTTCATCAGAAAAAATTTGAGAGATTTTTGCTATAGGGCATGTGCACCTGCCAGAGAGACAAAGAGACAGAAAGCAAGAAATCGACCCCTCCCCAGAGGGGACAGCCACACCTCAATCCCTTGTCCTCCATTCTCCTCCCAGGATTTGGGCACACATGCACATGTGCCCAGCATGAGTTTCAAGCCATTGGGCCCAGGACTCAAACTGAGGATGGCCACATGGGAGTCCAGTACCTTAACCACTAGGCCACCAGCTGGACCCCATCAAATATTTTTTAAATATTTAGGAGGGGCTGGCAGGCGGTATGGTGGTTAAGGGTGCTGGACTGCCCCCGGGCCAACCACAGTTCAAGTCCTAGACCTGGCAGCTTGCTTTCTCACTTTCCCTCTCCCTCTTGCTCTTTCTCTCTGTCCTTCCCTGGTACAATTAAAATAAGTAAATAAATAAAATTAAATTAAATAATTCTTTAAAAATTAAAAATATTTAGGAAAGGAAGTGACAAGCACAGAGATTCAATAAAAACAAGGCAGGCCATGCTGATCTCATTTTCTCTTCTAAGAGCACTATTAGACAGGTAAATCAAATAAATTCAGACATAGCATTGATTCCTGCCATTGACAAGGTCCTTCATTATGTTCGGTGGTAAACAGTGGGCTTCATTATTGAATGATTCTACCAGCGCATAACTTGTGTCTACCTAAACCCAAAGGGTGTTGACCGAGTGCTACATGATTCTGAATTTGGCCCAATGCTATTCAATATTTTCACCAGCAGGTTAAGATATAAGAAAAGCTGGTCCAGCCTAGGTAGCATAGTCCATAGTATAGTGCACTGTGGTGCTGGAAGCCACACAGTCACCATGGGTTCAGATCCTCAGACAGGTTGACCTAAAACACACCAGGCATGTGTACATGCCTGGGACCCTCCCAAGCTTGAGAACTGGAGGAAGGAGATCACGGTGTGACCAGGCCCTGTGGAGGATATTAATCTCTCTCCCTTTCACTCTCTCTCTCTCTCTTTTGCTTGCACATACTCACACTCTTTAACATAAATAAACTTATTTTTTAAAAAAAGGAAGAAGAAAAGGTTACCAATTTTACAGGTGACACTAGACTAAGAAAAGGAGCTAATATACTAGACTCAGAATCAGCTAAACTATCTCAGCAACCATGATATGACAAAATTAAAGTAAAAAAACAAACAAAAACTCCACCCTACAATGTATAAATCCTTAGATACAATTATAGCACAGAGTCTCTAGAAACAAGCCCAGTAATGCTAAAGTACTATTCTCTCGAGATTAGGCCATCAAATGTCAAAGAGAAAGAGATTTGCCTTGACACTGGTCATAGGAAAAGATACAGAAGATATTTCTGGTGAATTCCACCAGGAATTTCAGATTATGCCCTCTGAAACCCATTTGAAGATGGTTTCTCAATTGTCTAAAGGTTTAATAAATGCTTTCCATTAATATTAGAGACTTTATATGTCCAGTGGAGAATGAAATACTAAAGGCAAAGAGGATCAGGACCCATGAAGGAAAGTGGAAAATGTGGTATGAAAACAAAAATATCCTCCAGAAGGACATGAAAGCTATCCTCAAGTACCTAAAAATTGTCTTCTGAATGAGAAATCACACAAGTTCACACGGTTCAGGTGGCTTTAAAGAGAGGAGTGAGACCGGTTCCCAGGGGTCACAGGGACTAAGACTCGGGCTTTAAGGTATTTCTTCTTCTTTTTGTTTTTAAAGAATTATTTATTCATTTAATTCCATTTGTTACACTATTTTATAATTTGACCAGAGAGAGAAAGACAGAGAGAGAAAGGGAAAGCGAGAAACCAAGCCACCAGGTCCACGACTCAAACCTGTCGTTCATGTGGGAATCCAATACCTTTAACCACCACGCCACCTGCTGGCCCAAGGTGTTTCTTCTAATCTTGCCACCCAAGAACAGAATGAGCTTCCATGGGAGGCGGTAAGCTCTTGGCCAGTGAGTGGCTGGATCATCAAGTCAGACATGTAGGTTTAAGATGCTCTGTTTCTCTGCTCTGTAGCTCATCGTGTGATTTATTCCCTGCATGCAACACCATGATCTAACCACCATGATCTAATGAAGAAGGCAATATGAAGTGGAGGTTAAAAGTTCAGCATCAGCCTGTCCGGGTTTAAATCCCACCTCTCTGTGTGACCCAAGTGACCTGGAGCAAGTTAATTAACTGCCCTGGACTACAGTGTCTGCATCTGAAAAAATGAGAGTGAATTAAGCATCAATCCCAAGGGTCTACTGCAAGGATTGAGTTAATGCACAAGAAGCACTCAGAGCAGAGGCTGGCACACAGCAAATGCAAAACAAGACAGCGATTTATTCTAATGACTCTGCAATTCTTTTAGTCCTCTGAAGATTCTTGGCTACCAATTCTGGACAAAGTGTGATGTTCACCTGAGCATATAGAAAAATATGAAGATTAAGGAGGACATTTGGGCATATAAAAGTTACTATAAACATACAGAGAAAAGCACTGCGCAGAGCAAAAGAGAGCAACTGGAAAAACAACTCTGTTCACCAACCCACATGATTTCTTTTTTTTTCTCCAAAGTCCATTTATTTATTTTTTTCCATGGGAGAGAAACAAAGAGAGACAGGCACCCCAATGGAGTCCCCAGGCTGTGATCCATTCCCAGCTTCGGCCAGCCCAGGTCACGGCCGTAGGTCCCCAGTATAGAGAGGGAGACTCCCCTAGATGCAACCTGGAGACCTTCCCACGTGGGTCAATTGCACTTTCACTGTGCCATGACCTGGCCGCAGACCTGCATGGTCTCTAAAGCCAGCTACCAGGGGCAGATATTCCTGCCCCTGTCACTCAAGGATGTAAGCTGCTGCCTCCCAGTCACTGTGGTTAACAAAGGTCTACTATATGGATCCTGGTGTCTAGGGAGCTGCCTCCACTGAGGATGGTGCTGGCTTCTCAGGTTCCTCTCCCAGATCTACAATCCGGATGGTGTTTTCCTTCTTGGAGAGCCAGAAGGCAGCGTAGATTGGCTCTGAAAACTTGCAGTCAAACTTGTGAATCAACGTCATGGAATGATACTCTACACCATGAAAGGAAAGCGTCCCTCCTGGGAAATCAATGAAGATCCCCAGCCTGCGGAAGGGGCTGGCGTTGAGTGGGGTCTCTGTGTCACTGTGCCAGGCTGTGAACTCCTTCCCATTCCAATGAAGGCTCCAGGAGAAGTTGTTTCCCGAAATGCAACTGTTGCGCTCCGCCCCTTTCCGGTCGATGCCTTTGCAGGTCAGGCCAACATAGATACCTGCCCCGGAGATCTCTACCTCGAAATAGTACCTGTGCAGGTACAGACTCTGTTGGGACAGTACCTGCCGCCAGTGCGCAAACCTGCTGGGGAGGTCCGGGTAGGGATGCTCCCAGGGCGTGGTGTTGGTGACCTTGCGGTTGTCATCCTGCAGCCGGAGGTATCTGTGGGCTGTGTCCACATCAAACGTGATATCATGTGCATCTGGAAAGATAAGGAAGAGTCAGTTTAGGAACAAAGAGCTGATTAGACAAAACACTTTACTTGAACCCAGCTGACCTCCAGTGTATGTATGGAAAACATTCTTCTCCCTGTTCTCTGTTTATGCAGTCCCCTTGTCCCCTTAGGGCAAGATGAGTGAGGACCAGCAAAAGGAAGAATGCAAGTCATTCTACTTCCTTCCTGAAGCTCAGATTGCTTGGGGTATACTATACTGTTTGTTGAACTGAATCAAGAAATAAAGTAATTTGCTATTCCTTCAAGAAATATGTACAAGATGCCTTCTAAAACTTCATGGAAAATGCATATTATAAAAAAATATGGACCAGCCAGTGGCATGCTGATTAAAGTAGTTAGATCCCACATGGCCAATGGCATGGTTTGAGCCCCAGATCCAGTGACTTGAGTTAAAAAAAAAAAAAAACAAAAAAAAAACAGGTGCGTGTATATCCATGCCCAAAATCTCAAGAGAAGAAAGAATGAGAAGGGATGGAGGTGAGGCCATTCTCTCTTAGGGAGTGTTTTCTCACTCCCCTCCCCTACCTCTGTCTCTCTCCAGTGAGTACACACACCCTATAGTAAACTGAAAAGAAAAATATGCATGGATTTTAATATTTTTGCACTTGTACTTTAATTCCATTTTCCATAAACTTTTTGAAGTCTCCTCATATTGAAAGCAAGACCCTTTTCTACCCAGTGTTGGCAAGGGGTTGGGAATATAGGGATTCATATACCCACATATGACTCATCCATTCATGTTTTTAAATATTTAACCAACATTTAGCAAGCTATCAAACATTCTCATAAACATATGCTCTTCACAGTCCAAGAGAACAAAAGCACCTCCACGCTCCCAGTTATTCAAGTCAAATGCAAAGTCATTTGTGATGTTTTCTGTGCCTTTCCTCCTTACTGCCCCTGCCATCCATCTCCCCACACACAAGTAGCAGCAAACCCTATAGATTCTACCCACTTCTCTTCTGTTTCAACCCCATCTGAGCCACCACCAAGTCTTACCTGCACTAGTGCAATTGGCTCCCTACTGCCTGTGTCACTCTCTCTTGCCCCCTTGATACTTTCTACTCAAGACAGCCATGGTGCTTGTTCTTCATAGGCTAGGGCGAGTCACATCACCCCGATTAAAACCCAGATGACACCTCTTGTTCTTAAGATAGAGCAATGATGCCTTCCTGGCCTGCCAAGGCCCTGCATGGCTGGCCCTCACCTGCTGTTTCCTGCTCCCTCCCCCTTGATCACCACACTCCTGAGTCACCTCCATCTCAGACCTACTGGATGCTCAAGCCACTTTGGGGCTTTAGTACCCTGTTCCCTCTGCAACGTGATCATCATCCTACTCTGAATTTGGGTAATTCCTTCCGATCCTTTAAGGTTGTGGCTTAGAGTTTACATCTTCAAAGAGGCCCTTCCTGATTCCTAAATCATTTTCTCTCCAAGCACCTTGGCTTTTTTTTTTTTCTTTCTTTCTTTTTTTAGAGGTTTTTTTTTTTTTTTTTTTAAATTTTTTTTTTTTTTTTTTTAAATTTTTTTTTTTTTTTTTTTAAATTTTTTTTTTTTTTTTTTTAAATTTTTTTTTTTTTTTTTTTATGCTATAGGGCACATGCGCTCATCAGAGAGACAGAAAATGAGAAATCACCCCCTGGGGGGATGATCATGCCGCAATCCCTTCTCCTCCATTCTCTTCTCAGGACTTGGGCACACACATGAACATACCCTGCATAAATTTTAAGCCACTAGATCCCAAACTCTAACCATGGTCAACTATGTGGGAGTCCAGCGACATAACCATTATGCCATCTGCTGGTTCTGCACTGTGGCTTTTTTATTTTTTAAGAATTATTTATTTAATTTTATTCATTCATTTATTTTAATTTGACCAGAGAGAGGTACAGAGAGAGAGAGAGGGAAAGTGAGAAAGCAAGCCACCAGGTCCAGGATTAGAACCATGGTCAACCATGTGGGAGTATCCAGCGCCTTAACCACCATGCTGCCTGCTGGTCCCATGCACTTTGGCTTTTTAAACTTCACATACTCATGACAGTTTGGAATTTGTTTCATGCTTGTCCTGCTAATCCACAAGCTTCACATTTTGTGTGAGACTCTCGTGGGGATCTTGCTCAGAAAAGATGCTTAGTACATCTGAGGACTTCGGAAGATTGTGGGGAAATAGAATTAAACTACAAGTTTATTTTGGTGCAGAACATTTTTGAAATCCATGTAGAATTTGTTCAAAATACACATTTTCCATGAACTTTGTGAAGAGCCTTATACTTGCCATATAAATGAGCATTCTAAAGGTTACTAAAAAGATGCTGTAATTAAAAAAAAATTCTTAACCCAGAGTTTTCCAAACTTCTTTGTGTCTAAGTAAGAGAAGTTCTTAGTGCTCAGTAAGAATACCCTCTGGGGCCAGCAGGTGGTATGGTAGTTAAAGGTGCAGGACTCACACATGGCTGACCGCAGTCTGAGTCCTGGACCCGGCAGCTTGCTTTCTCACTTTCTTTCTCTCTCTCTCTCTCTCTGTCTGTCTCTCTCTCTCTCTCGCTTTGTCTCTCTCTGGTCAAATTAAAATAAACAAATAAGTAAAGTTAAATAAAATAATCCTTAAGGAAAAATATTTTTAAAAAGAAAAAAAACACATCCTGGGGGGCGGGGAAAAGGACACAACCATCTAATAAGGAAAAAAGGAACATGAGGTGAATGGTCTGCAGTTCTGTCACTAAAAGTGGCCCATGGGGACCGGCAGATGGTATAGTAGTTATGTCATTGGACTCCCACATGGCTGACAAGTTCCAGATCCAATGGCTTGAAAGTCACACCAGGTGTATGTGTGTGTGTGTGTGTGTGTGTGTGTGTGTGTGAGTGAGTGCTTAAGATCCTGGGAAGAGAACAGAGAAGAAGGGATTGTGGTGTGGCCACCCCCGACTACCCCCAGAGGAGGGTGATTTCTCACTTTCCTTTTCACTGTATCTGTCTCTTTACTGCCAGAGTATGCACCCTAAGACAAAAATCTCTCTAAAATAATAATAATAATAATAATAATAATAATAATTAAAGCAGTCTGTATCCAAGGAATATTGCAGGATTTGATCCCTTTATGAATCTTGTGATAGATGAACGTGTGGAGATGGCAATTAGTGGGCAACAGAATAATATTGGAATGGTGGGGGCCGGCAGGTGGCATGGTGGTTAAAGGCACTGGATTCCCACATGGCCGACCGGGGTTTGAGTCCTGAACCTGATGGCTTGCATTCTCACTTTCTCTGTCTCTCTCTGTCTGTCTCTCTCTCTCTCGCTCTGTGTGTGTGTGTGTGTGTGTGTGTGTGTGTGTGTGTGTGTCCCTCTCTGGTAAAATTTAAAAATAAAATAAAGTTAAAATAAAATAATTCTTTAAAAAAATATTGGGATTGTGGTAATATGAGGAAATAGTATCATGTTAGAAGCCTTGGAATGAGTATAAATAATGGCTTTTCATCTGAAAAATCCATGTCCCCTCTACAAATGGCCTGTTTTACTATGGTGTGAAAATGAGGTCATGTACATTTTATATAACATTTAGTGAAATAAAAAATAATAATAAAAGCAACCCAACAGCACAGTGGCCACACTTTAACTTGGAACTCTTTTGGCAATCCTTTGTACCCAGATTTGAAACAATGTTCTTCTCATCTAAGAGGATCCAACACTCCTTGGAGGGTACATGACTCTGTGTCTCGGGACAAGGAAATCAGAATGGGTCTGGGACATTCTGTTAGTGCCACAAAGCCACAGTATTTTTAAGAATGTCAAGGGCAGAATGACAGTACTTCAAGGAGAAAACAACCAGCTTGAAAGTGGCTCAAACTGGCCAAGTTGGCGATTTGAGCCATAGAACTTTGACAGTTGAGACCGTAGAAGGCCAAATTCACAATAATATTGTTAAAAGAAAAATAAACCAGTCAATTTAATGGGGTATAGTTTTTAATAGAGCAAATGTTAACAGGATTGAAATTGGGCAGTTGGTTCTGGATTTGTGGACAATTCTGCCAGCCTCATGGTCAACTCAGCATTTAAGTCAGCAGAACAAGAAAGTGCCGTATAAAACAAGTAAGTGGGGGAGTGAGGTGGAGAAACTATTGGTTACATTTTGAAGTTTGTATTAACCTGGCTTAAAAGGCAGGATGCCTGTGGTTGACTAAAGCCCAACTGTTGTAATTGGCCATAACCCAGCAACTAGTTCAGAAAAACAGCCTAACATATACGGTTTTGGCTTATCTATAGGAATAAAAGTGTGGAAGTACAGTGGCTGTTTTAGGCCAAAATATTTCAATTTAACAATACCAAAAAAAGAGAAATGTTAATAGCACATGTGAAAAAAGATACTTGTAATGCACAAGAAAATGGATTTTAATAAGATATCTTGTTTTTCATTTTAATGTTAAGAATAAAGGGCATTTGGGTTCTTGCATTAGAGGCAGGAAAAAATGAAACTGTGGAAGCCAAGAGGTCCTGGGGAAAAATAGGAGCTGGGGCAAGAATAGGAGATGAGTCATCAGAATCTGAAGCCCCAAATAATAATTGAGGAAAGGGCAGTTCAGGGGTCAGCCTGTAGCCTCGTGTTTACAGGAAGCCAGATCTCATATGCTGACCATGGCCCAAGTACCAGCCCTGGTGGCTTGAAAACCACATCGGGTGCACATGCATGTGTGTCCAGAATCCTATCAGGGTGGAGCAATGGAGGAGAAGGGGTTAAGCATACCCATTGAGGGGATGCTTTTTCCCTCTCCCTATTTCCCCCTCACAAGTGTACATGCTGTCTGACAATTAAGAAAAGAAAAGGGAAAAAGAAAAAAAAAAACAAGAGTCAGCCAGTGGTCACCCTCAGAGAACAAGCAGAAGCAGGTTCAATGGCATGTTCCAAGAAGATGTGATCAAAATGAGCACTGACTGGGGACAGCAGGTGGCATGGTGGTTAGGGGACAAGACTCCCACATGGCTGACTGTGGTTCAAGTCCTGTACCTAGTATCTTGCCTTCTCACTTTCCCTCTCTCTGTCTCTGTCTGTCTCTCTTTCTCTCTCTCTGTATGTGTCTCTCTGGTGAGCACATGAGCCCTGTAGAAAATTTTTAAAATAATAATAATTATTAATAAAATTAAATAGATAATTATTTTTAAAAACTTGTTTTTAATAAGCATTGACTACACAGGTGCAATCTTTCCTTTATATATAAAACCATGATGAAACACCATGGTTTTATATATTGATTATAATAAAGCACATTTTAATTTATTATTTTCTGAGGACAGGTTTAATGAGTTTCTTCCAAGTATATGCTTGGAAGAGAGGATGATATGAATAAATTTATAAAGAAAAACAACCACCAATACATCTAATTAGATAAGAAGACAAGTTGATGGCATAATTCCATTTTTTTAGTTGACAAGGAACATACAACATAAAATATGTGTAAATTGTGAAATGGCTACATCAAGCTCATTAACACATGTATTATCTCACATATTATTATTATTCTTGTGTGATTAGAACACTTAAAATCTATCCTGCTGGCAATTTGCAAGTATGTAATACCTTGTTACTAGCTTCAGTCACCTGTTGTACAATAGATCTCATGAACTTGTTCTATAGTGAAATATGGACCAGAGATCATTTTTAAAATGCTAACAGAAAAATTAAAAGAATAATAAAACAAAAATGCTCACAGATTAGATCAATTCTGCATTATGAAGGACAATGGGTTATGTAGTTCTGGCCAAGCCAGACTTAAAAATGTACCATCTGAGGGAACCAGCAGTTAGCGTAATGGCTATGTCGCTGGACTCCCACGTAGTCGACCGTGGTTCGTGTCCCGGACCCGGTGGCTTAAAACTCACGCCGGGCGCATGTGCGTGCGTGCCCAAGATCCCGAGAGGAGAATGGAGGAGAAGGGATTGCGGCGTGACCATCCCCCCGGGGGGTGATTTCTCGCTTTCTGTCTCTATGTCTCTCTCTGTCTGTCTGGTGAGCGCACGCACCCTACAGTGAAAATCTCTCCAAAACAAAAAAAACACAAAAAGTACCATCTGATAACTGACCAGGACTCTCCTAAGTGCCAAGGTGATGAAAAATAAAGAAAGACTGAGGAGAAGACTAAAGAGACAGGGAGACATTGGTGATCCTGGATTGGACTTGGGGCCAGAAGAAAAAAAAAATATATATATATATACGTAGAAAAATTAGTGAAACCTAAAAAATTCTCTAGATTAGTTCATAGCCTTGTAGCCACGTTAATTTCTTGGGTTTCACCAATGTACTATTCTTCTGTAAAGTGGGGAAAATGAGAGAAAATTATACAAGAATTCTTTGCCCTATTTTTACAATGTTTTTTAAGTTTGAAATTATTTCAGAATGAAAAGTTAAAAAAAAAAAACATTTAAGTTTCTTTCTTTCTTTTATGAGCGACAGAGAGAAGGATAGAGTCCCCCAACAGCAACATGTCAGGCCCAGATTCCCACCCAACCTCCCAGCCTTTCAGTTAGCCAGAATCATTGGTGGACCAGGAATTGAACCCAGGGCTAAACACATGACAGAGATGCCCTATCACCTGTGTCACTTAGGCTGGGCCAAAGTTTTAAAATGTTTTTAATTACATTTTTTAAAGTTTATAATTTAGGAACAGACATGAGATTGCAAGAACATGAAGCCGATAGAGAAATGGTAGATTTTGCTCTAGCAAAGCATCACACTGACCTTGACAGAGAAAGGGAAAGCCGTTCACAACTTACATTGGAGGAACTGTTCCCTGGTGGTGGGCTCAGGTTTAGAAGGCCAATATTTGCGTGGAACCACGGCAGACACTTGGGTCCTGATGTCATACTCCTCTAGAAAAATCAGAGAGTTGTGAGTGTACACCTGTCCAGCTGACCAGGAGAACCTGAGAAGCAGGACTTCCAGGTCACCCTGGGGAAGAAGGAGTTGCTGCCTAATAATATCTCAGAGAAGCATGCCCAATGGACCCAGGGAAAAAAAGATACCAGATTGGCCCAGATTTGACTTAAAAGTATAGGTCTCAGCAACCTGAGAAGCTAGTCCTAGAATGCCAGCCAACTGTGCAATGTGACTAACTCACTTTCTGTGAGTCTCAATGGTAAAATAAAAATACTAAAGTAATGTTCCGTAGTAACATGGCTAACCGAAGAGCAGCTTTGATAATGAGATGTTTCTCCATATTTCAACCTCCTTTTTCCTGGTCCTCTCCCACTCTCCCCATCAACCACTCCTAGGGACACACCACCACAGCCCATGGCCCGGAAAGCTTCTCACCGTCCTTGGCAAACTCCTGGAGCTTTTCCTTGTAGTTCTCCAGCAGCTGGATTAAGTGTACAGTGGAGTCCGTGATGACCTTGCGGATTCCCGAGAGTTTATCCTTTAGCCCTATGTAAACGCTGGGGAAGGCACCATCTTCAGCACTCTTAAACTTGGAGTATTCCTGCAGAAAAAGGAATGGCAGAGCTTGCTTTGGTTCCTATCCCTTTTAATTTGGACTGTTCTCCCCATTATATCACTTTTTGCATCTGTAAATGTAGATAGCAACACGTATGTCACAAAGACAGTGCAGGTGTCCAGCTCAGAATCTAACAACACAGAAAACGCCTTCCCTATGCTGCTAGACCTTACAAAAAGTGGGTCTTTAAAAATTCAAATAGGAGGGGCTGGCAGTAGCATGGTGGTTAAAAGCACTGGACTTCCACATGACCAACCACGGTTCAAGTCCCGGGCCCGGTGACTTGCTTTCTCATTTTGCCTTTGTGTCTCTCTCTGATCAAATTGAAAAAAATAATAACAATAAACAAAGTTAAATAAAATAATTCTTAGAAAATCAAATGGGGGCTTATGCAGGTGGCATAGTGGTTTAAGTGCTAGACTCCCACTTGGCCAACCATGGTTCAAGTCCTGGACCTGGTGACTTGCCTTTTCGTTTTCTCTCTCTATATGTGTCTCTTTTTAGTGAGCATTCATGCCCTGTAGCAAATTTTAAAATAATGATAATAAAATTAAATAATTTTTTTAAAATTTCAAATAGGAGGGCCAGCACCCCTGCCCCCTCAGTTAAGTAGTAACAAGACAGGAATTAGACCCAGTGAACAGGTAATAGTGTGGGGACCCATAACATAGAGTCACTTTGATAGGAAATGGACACACATATATTAAAGTAGAGCCATCTTACAAGGTAGAGTCACTCTGGTCAAGTTTTTAATAAAAATCATTTACTGTTCTCACTAGAAATCAAGTACCAGAGCTGTTTACAGCTTGCTTGATGAATCCAGCCCACCAGGAATGCAACCAAACCCTCTGTGAAAATTCCTCTCTCCACCCTCCTCCCACTCGGCTCTTTGTGCCCGTAAGGTTGTTATCGTCCTTCCGTATCCCAGATACACACAGAAATTCACCACCAGGGTGGGACACTAGGTCAACATCCTGATTCCCACTGGGGCAATAAACTAATTGGGCGGTGATCTAGATATGGATGTGCTTACTTTCACAGGCCACATGTGTGATGAGATCATTAAATTCCTCACCTGCGAGACACACGCAAGCACAGGAAAAAGCCCAGGAAACCAAACGAAGAAGCCAGGTACAATTGCAGAACATCCATTGCTAAATATTCATTATTATTTATTTTAATTTTATTTATTCATTTTTAAATATTTTATTGAAATTTATTATTCTCCCCTGAATCTTTGATATTCTTATCTTTATGACCTATTTATTATAATTGTATAAAGGAATAAATACAAGTTTACGTGATAGGCCACGGTCAGCTAGTATGAAACTTACATTTTGGGGGATCAGCAGATGGCATAATGGTTACATCGCTGTACTCCCACGCAGTCAAATGCCATTCGAGTCACAGACCCAGCAGCTTAAAACTCACTCTGGGTGCATGCTTGTGAGTGCCCAAGGCCCTAAGAGGAGAATGGAGGAGAAGGAATGTGGTGCAGCCATCCACCTGGGGAGGTGAGGATTTCTCAGTTTCTGTCTCTCTGTGTCTCTCTGTCTCTCTGGTGAGCACATGTGCCCTATACCAAAAATCTGATTATTTACACTGATTTTTTTAAGTTTTTAATTGTCTTTTATTATTATTATTATTATTAGAGAGAGAGAGGTAGGAAGAGAAAAAAGAGTGAGAGGGAGAGATGTTCAAAAATATTTATTTATTTACCTATTTATTTGTTGTGATTTTTGAGGTCACCAGGTCCAACACTTGAACTATGGTCAGCCCTGTGGGAGTCCAGTGCCTCAACTATCATGCCACCTGCTGGGCCCTTTCTCACTCTTTAAAAGGTTAACTATTAGTTGTTTTTAGATGCTGGAATTATGGATTTTTTTCTTGTATTTTTTTTCTATATTTTCCAAGTTTTTTTCACAATTAACATTTTGTTTGTAAAAAAAAAGGGGGGGGGAGGGGATTGTTTTTTAAAAAATGCAAGCAAAAAAATTATTCATATCTCAGAATTTTAGAGTTGAATGGAGTCTTGGAAATATGACAAGTGAGGAATATGAGACCCAGAGAAGCTGAGTGAGGTACTAAACACTGCACAGCTATCTAGTGACAGTTCCAGGATAATGGAATTCACCACCAGCCTAGTGTCCCTTCCCTGCAGGATGGCCTGATCTTCAGACCTGGCTCTAATGGCATATCCTTCAATGTACAGTGATACGTTGTAATGAAAAGTTCCATCTCCTAGGCTGAGCTTTCCTCCACTACCCCAGAGCACACAACCCTCTCTGCAAAGCAGATTTTGTCTCATCCCTGCCAGGCCAACCTCCCTGTGACTGCCAGAGTGGCTTATAAAACACAGTCATCTGCTTTCATCCCTCCTCCACTCAGTCTACTCATTCTTCCCCAGCCAGATCCCTCGCTGCCCCTGCCAGCCTCATCTCCCCTGAGTGGAGAAGGCCACACCGCAACCCCTTCCTCTTCATTCTTCTCTTGGGATCTTGGGCATGCACACACACGTGCCTGGTGTGAGGTTTAGGTTGCCAGGTCAGGGACTCAAACTGCAGTCAACTATGTAGGAGTCCAGCAACATAACCATTACGCCATCTGGTGGTCCTATCATGCTCTATCCTTCTGAAAGTCCCCTGGGACCCTAAGTCAGCTGTGCTTTCTAGAAACTCTCTGCCTTTGCTCATGCTGCTCCCTCTGTCTACCTGGACCATGCTGTGCCCTGAACCGTACTCATCCTCCAGGACCTGCCTTAGGCTTCCCTGCTCTGAGCAGTCCTCCCCCGTCCCCTTCCTATTCTCTGCTGAATCAAGACCAGCTCCTCTTGGCTCCCACTGCTCCCTGTGCACCCTGCTTTTTGAAGAGCAGTCCCAGTCACAGATCTGTGACAGGTCCGACAGAGCGAGGGTGCTCCATGGTGCCTTTTCGCAGGTGCTTCAGTCTCCCCGCCATCCCACTTCATACCTCCAGGAACAGGACAGTGTTGCTGATGGCCGCCAGTCTCTCCAGCTCCTGCTTGCTTTTCTCCATCTCTGTGTTTCTGTGTTCCAGGTGGGTCTTGATGCCATTGGCCTGGCTCAGCGCCGCTTGCTCCTTCTCCTCCAGAAAGAGCATCACATCGGCCTGGGCCTTCCTCACAGCAGCAAGGAGTTCCCCAAACTTCTCCTCAGCCACCACCTTGACCTCGGACACCGACACCTGGCAGGGGCAAAGCAGCCAAGAACCCATTAGTAGACGGCCAACTGTACAGAAGCTCAACACACAGAAATGTAAACTCGAGGGACCAGCAGTTAGTGTAATAGCTATGTTGCTGGACTCCCATGTAGTCCACTGTGGTTCGAGTCCCAGACCCGGTGGCTTAAAACTCACACCAGGCACATGTGCATGCGTTCCCAAAATCCCAAGAGGAGAATGGAAGAGAAGGGATTGCGGTGTGACCATACCCCCTGGGAGGTGATTTCTCGCTTTCTGTCTCTCTGTCTCTCTCTGTCTGGCGAGCGCACATGCCCT